GTGGAAGCAAGCACAGAGAATAAAGATGTGAAACTATTTTGTATGGTACTGTAATGTTATATATGTGTCATTATACTTTCTCAAAACCCATAGAAGGTACTACATAAACAGTGATCCCTAATGTAAACTATGGACTTTAGCAATACTGTATCAATATGAGCTTGTTAATTGTAGTGAATGTACCATGCTAATACAATATGTTAATAATTGAGGAAACTGGTAGGGAGGGGGAAAGGGATGTATGGAAACTCTTTGTAGTTGCCACTCATTTTTTATCTGTAAATCTAAAACTGTTTTGAAAAATGTATATTCTTTTTTAAAAAAAATGTATTTTTCGGAATAGAAAATAATTTAGACATTTGAAATAACCACAGATTTATCTGTAAAATTTTTAATTCATTTTTTAGTTTGTGTCATTCTCCATTTATTTATTTTCTGACTTGCATTGGGAGAAACAAATTGTATTTCTGACATTGATTTATATTTCTCTTTTATGAAGTGTTTCATTTAATAACAAACCTGATTGCTCTCTCATTAAAACTGTATTTTTTCCTATAACTTTGAATTACCTGATAGAGTGATAGAATATTTAACTTTTTCTGACTAACTTAAACAGCTTTCTTTATACTGGTGATCTAAACTGATGTAAGCACCTTATGTCCTTACAATTCATGAAGGTACTAGTATAGTCTATGTTGAAATTTGCAAATTAGCAGTTTTGTCACATAACGTTTCAAAGACTTATTTTACTGGTTGCTTTCTAGGATTTTCAGATAGAAATTGTAAGAGAATTTTTTTGTTTTTTCTTTGAAATTCTAAGATAATTTATTCATTATTTTTCACTTAATAAACATAAAGGCAACTTACCTGCATTTAAAAAATATTAAGCATGATGTAATCCTTTTATCTCAGAATACTTAAGATGGCTTTATTAACATAAATTTTGTTATTAATAGTTAAGTTTAAAATGTAAAAAATGTGGAGAGTATGTCTGTGGTTTTGCTTATGCTAACAAATATTAAGAGAGATTGCAATGAATTTAAGAATCATTTTTGAACATACTCATAAGCAATGTAACTTGCTTGCATTTATGATATAGGACCTGGTGTTCAACTTCTGGAGCGTATATATCACTGTTTTGTTTGCAGATTTTGCTTTTCAATTATGTGTATTATGATAATAGGCCTACATTTGGGAACTTCAACAGGTATTTCTGCCAATGGATAGGAATGTATACATAATGTGAATTTTAATAAATAGGGAAGAAAATGTATAATACTTTGGAAATGAGAAAATTCCGGAGTTGCCTTCCTCATGTTTATTTTTTGTATTTGTATGCTGTTAGTGATCCATCACATTTGCTGTCCATGAATTTCTTATGCTATACGGAAACTCCAGAGTACAAGTTACAGTTTTTTATATATTCTGTATGGTCCGAGGTGAATTTATGGGAATGCATTTTTTCTTTTTTTTTTTGAGAGGGGAAAAGATAGGAAGCCTTCAAAAATTGTCATGCTCATAATTTGAAAATCTGTTTTTACTTTTTGATGTTATGTTTTTCATACTGCCCATTAAGCATATTATAGATTTATGATCACTGATGTATGTGTCTTAGGAATGTATGTGCTAATAGGAATGTCAGTAACTGTTTAGGTTAGTAAATCCCAAAAGATCTCAATAACTAATTCATTGTAAATAATTTTCTGTAGTGAGGGTCACATAGCTGTGAAGCCATTGATAGACTTCTAAGTATGCCTAAAGACTCAGAGTTTAGTTAAAACAACAACAAAAGGAGGTGACCATTTTTACTCCATTTTTTAGGGTTTTTAAATTTGTTTTTGAGTCAGAGTCTTACTCTGTTGCCCAGGCTGGAGTACAGTGGCACAAACACGGCTCATTGTAGCCTTGACCTCCTAGACTCAAGTGATCCTCCCGCCTCAAGCCCTCAGAGTAGCTGAGACCACAGGGACACACCACCACACCCAGCTAATATTTTAGTTTTTGTTTTTTGTAGAGATGGGGTCTCCCTCAGTTGCCCAAGCAGGTCTCGGACTCTTGGACTCAAGCCATCCTCCTGCCTTGGTCTCCCAAAGTGCTGGAATTACAGGTGTGAGCTACCACACCAGCCGAAGGGTAACATTTTTAAAGAATTCATTCAGAATCACAACACAGATGTATTTCATTATTAATATGAAAAAAGTTCCAAGGCAAATGCCCAAGCTCTTCCTTCAAGTTTGTGTTGCGAAAGAAAGGAAAAAAGAAGTTTTTATTTCCCAGAAATTATCCCTAGGGGAAAAAAGAAAAACTTGTAATTTATCTGTGGAATCAAAAATTCAATTCAAGTTTTTAAAAAATGTATTTTAAAATTCTGGCTAATATGGTGAAACCCCATCTCTACTAAAAATACAAAAATTAGCCATTCGTGGTGGTGGGCACCTGTAGTCCTAGCTACTCGGGAGGCTGAGGCAGGAGAATGGCATGAACCTGGGAGATGGAGCTTGCAGTGAGCCGAGATGGCGCCACTGCACTCCAGCTTGGGTGACAGAGTGAGACTCCGTCTGAAAAAGAAAAAAAAAAAATACATACATATATATATGAAATGTGATTACAACTATAGATGATATTTTACCCTCTGTGTAACACTTTAAGATTTCCATATGTATTTGTGTCTTTGACCAGTTTTAATGAGTGATTATGTTGGAGTCAACGTAACTTTTGTTTCAAATTAGATTATAAAATTGTTGGTGACTTTCTCAAGAAGGAAAGAAGCTAGCAGGAAAACTGGAATAGGGTGAGATTCTGACATTTTGTATATGGGTTGTTTTTAAAATACACTTGATCTTTAATACATAACATGGTAAGCCATACACTAAAGACAAATTGTTGCCGTTATCTTAGCATATTCCACGCTTCTGTATTTTTTACATACAGATTGTTCTTAAAGAATCCTTAATTTTATTGGCATTCATACATTTTTTTTAATCTGTGATTATCTTTTTCCAGTTATAAACTATGAAATGCATTTAGTTTTTGGTTAATGTTTGTTTTTACTTTCTCCTCCGTATCTTCACAGCCTGAAATTGTTTTTCAAATGGTTAAGCTGGACTCCTACTCAAATATAGATATTAAGTAAAAGTAAAAAATTATTGTACTTATATGTGGTAGGGAGTAGGGATTCAAAGATCAGAAGATATGGTTCTTGCATTCGAAAAGTTGGGTAAGCTGACCTAAAAACATACAGTCCACGAGAAATAGATTGTAAGCTTTGCAAAAGTGGGAATTCTTGTTTGTTTTTGTTTACTGCTGTGTTGCCAGTAAAGTAAATAATTGTTTGGGAGAGTTAGAAAAGCCTCTCAGGGACTGGGCATGGTGGCTTATTCATGTAATCCCAGTACTTTGGGAGACCAGTATGAGAGGGTCGCTTGAGCTCAGGAGTTCGACACCAGCGTGGATAACATAGCCAGACCTTGTTTCCACTCAAAATAGAGGGGAAAAAAAAAAAAGCCAAGCATGGTGACACATGCCTGTGGTCCCAGCTACTCTGGAGGCTACGGTGGGAGAATTGGCTTGAGCCGAGGAGTTCAAGGTTGCAGCAAGCTATGATGATGCCACTCCTGCCTAGACAGCAGAGTAAGACTGTCTCAAAAAAAGAAAAAGAGAAAAAAGCTTCTCAGATGAGGTAGTACTTCAAGTATGAAGGAGTATGTCAGGAAGAAAGAGACACCAAGGACATTAGCAACATACAAAGACATGATGTGATGGTGAAAGAGAATGAAAATTTTAAGGAACATTGTAAAATTCTGAGTGATGGCAGCATGGGAGGACAGTAAAAGAAAATAAAGTCTTACTGAGTGGTAGCTTGTAGGCAAGTCGTAAAGGCCTTGTGTGCGTTGTATAATAATCTAAGGAATTTAAACTTCAGGGAACCAAGTCTGTCCAGTAATCAGGGAAACTCAGGAATTTGAAATGATGTTAATATTCAAACTATTTATTTTACCACCATTGCTATTACACTGGATATTATTCAATATTGTTTCTTTCAAGTCCTTGATTCATGTGTAACAATAACTATAACTTAATCAAGAATCCTTGAAATAAATGTTTTTTTAAAAAATCTCTGGGAAGTATAAACTTGATTATTTCTAAGTGAACTATAATTTATCTTTAATTTTTGTGAACTAGGGACTCTCCTAAGAAATTATCAAATACAACTACAAATGCAATTTTTAAAAAGTAATCCAGTTTAAAGCTATCTTTGAAAACAATTTTGTTTTTGTGTTTATGATTTGAATAAGCCTAAAATTATCTATTTGTATCAAGAACCCAATTTTTCATGCTGTGTAAATTGTGTTTTCTATAAATGTTTCTATGTAAAAATTTTAATTATACTCTTATACTTTATTATAAAAGATACTGATTTGATTAGCATTCTCTTCCCAGAAACACATACTAGCCATGAGATTAAATTCTTTTGACTATGAATTACCTGAAAATTTCTAAGAAAGACCATTGAGTGATTTAGAAAACTTTGTTAAAGAGTATGAAAGTAGGAATGATTTGTTCTTATAATTCAGCCTTTTTAAGAAGAATGGCTCAGGATTGCCTAGAGATATGCCCAAATATTGTTCCAAAAGTTTCTTTGAATTATTAATATTGAGTTATTTTCAATGTTTCCATTCAGTGAATTTCTCAACCCTTGGTTTTGAGAACATAATGCTAATTAAGGTGTCTGCTGTTGTTTAATGCTATTCCATTGTAACTGCTAATAATAGCATTTTCCTGCTTTATATAAAAAAATTATATTCAAAATGTTGTGTGTGTTCTCTGATTTCTTTTCTTACAGCTTGCCAGTATTTGCCGTGCTGAAATGTTTTAATTTATAATTTCCTTCCTTTGTACCTTTTAGTTTTCTCTGTTGCTGCTTTTTCTGTGACACGAGCCTTTCATTATAGTCACTCTTCTTTTTTCCTTCCCCACTTCTTTCTTTTCCTTTTTTAAAGCCATGAGAAGCCGATCCATTGGTGAATGTGCTCTGCCATCGGCCTATATACGCAGTGCTAAAAGTGCTCCTGTTCTGATCCATACTTCCAAACCCTTCTTGCCTGATATTGTTCTCACTCCCCTTTCTGATGAGCTTTCAGGTAGTGCCACCTCTGCTAATTTCTGCACCACCTTTTTCACTTTTTAATCCTCTGCTTTCAAATTTTGCTTAATCAAATAAACTCTTTAAAGTTAATTTCTTTGGGGGAGGTGTGGGAAACTGGGAAAATGATTGAGAAATCAACATTTTGAGTTATTTGAACTCTAATGCTGTCTTTGCAGTTCATTCTGGAAGTGCTAAGTTTAGTGCTGTGCCAATGTCCAGTATTTTTGGTTGTAAATGGCCAATTTTTTTTTTTTTTTTTTTTGCTCATGTTTTTTTCTTCCTCTCAGGTGGTTAAAAGAAGTAGTAGTATATATTTATATCGTAGATGTCTTGTAAAAGATGACTTAGAAAGATAATCAGCACTGACTTTTAATTTCCCATTGTTTTGACTGACAATATGGTAAATCTTGAATAATTTATTCTGTATTGTCTATAGGAATGGAACTAAGTAAGGGCAATCAGTATTTGGGAAAAGTATATCATCTAAAAGTTGCTTTGGAATAAATCTTTGTATTTATATTACGTGTAATCATATGTAGAATTCTAAGGACTCACTCATTTTTAAACCATTCTGTGAAGCCCTGACTTCCAAGGAGCTTCAAAACCTGCTTAGCTTTCCGGTTCTGCCTCAGGTCCTTGGTCTCCAGTACTGGGATGGTCTGCTCTTTCATTAAATTTTAATTAACATGTAATAAAATGCGTAGATCCATAGACTCAGTTGAATGAGTTTTGAAAATTGTACACACCCCTATTAACCATCACCACAAACAAATTATAGAACATTTCCACTACCTCGGAAAGTTTCCCAGTGACCTTTTTGAGTCAGTCACCACGCACTCCTCCCCTCCACACAATTATAACAACTTTTTGCTGTTCATCACCATAGATCAGTTTTGTTTAAAAAAAAAATTGGGGGCATAAATAAAATCATACAATGTGCAAATTGTGCTAACTCAAAGAAACCTACTTGTTTTGTTAACTTTGGAACCATAATATAATTAATTATAATGAAATTGGAGTTGATTTTTCAGTTTAATCGATGACAATAATAGAAAAATTGGCCTCAACCCGAACCTTAATATCCAGTAAGTATTGATGGATGATGAATGGATGTATTTCACACCAGTAAAATTAAGCAACCTGAATATTTTAAGCTACCAGTGCAGAAAATTAGTAAGATTTAAAAATATGTAGATGTGATAATATAAATTTTAATAGATGGTAGGAAATGGCACACAATTTTGTTACATATGATGCTTAGCTACAAATAAAGAATTAGAATATTTTTGTCTCTTTAGTTCTCCATTTAAGCACTGTACCTCCTTATGTCAGTAGCACAGATTTTGGCTGCTTACATCAAAGTATAATCTAGTTACTTAAGATGGCAAACAATGTTTCTGTTCTTAAAACTGAATTAGATACAGCTAAAAGAAACTCTGGGTTTTTTTGTAAACTTCTCTTGGATACATTTTTTGCTCCTAGCTTTTATAAAAGACATACTTAGAACATTTAATGCAAACCATTCTTGACATGTTTAGAAAAATTAAAATGAGCTTTGGCCACTTCCATTATTATTTTATTCTATTCATTTATTTATATTAAGTACAGAATTTGAATTCTCTTGGCCACTAATTCTTAAAAGTTTGATTGGATTAGACATTCCGCTACTGTCTTAAAAAACTGTCGAAAGATTTATTTTTTTCTCCATATCTTAAAGGATTTACAGAATTTCTCATCTGTAACTCAATGTTTTGGCAAATATTCATGTTAAGTGCTAAAACATTTTTGAATAGCTAAAACAAAGATAAGGTTGTTCCTTTCAAAATATTTTAGATTGGTGCTATACCTAGGATGAGAAGTTCTTATTTCAGAATTCTTGTTTTGCTGTAAATACATAATTCAGAAAGTTTACCTTTTTTATGCTTTTATGATTTAAACATTTATGAACACTGTTTGAAAGGAATTTTCTAAATGGCAGTTTTATTTGTTGTATTCCTTTTCCCCATCTGGGGTAATATGCTTTCTATGATAAATTTAAAGATTTAGATGATGTTGAGACATCAGTCACTAAAACAAAACAAACTTTATATCTGATTATCAAAATAATGTTCATTTTAGAAAACATGGATTACATGGAAAAGCATATGAAAAATATACATAATCCTCCAAAACCAGTGATAATTTATTGACGACTTCAGATGCTTTTACTGCCAGTTTTTTATGCTTGTGTACATTTAAAATATAAAAACATAATTAACAGTTAGTTTTGAATTAAAAATCATGTTTTCTCTTAGAATTTGAAAGAGGCAAGGAACCTGCCACTTTAAAATAGCAGCAAAATCCCTCCTTTCCTGATAACTGACTTGTGAATGAAGTCAGGACTTTTCAAGCTGATGTAAATTTAGAATACTTTCCAGGAGATGCAAATCAGTGCATAGAGGAAAAGATTAAAGATTCATAGTGCAAATCAACATATTAAAGACCCTTAGAAAACCTGTTAAAAAAACAAAACTGTTGGCCTGGCGTGGTGGCTCACACCCGTAACCAGCATTTTGGGAGGCCAAGGCAGGCGAATCACGAGGTCAAGAGATCAAGACCATCCTGGCTAACGCGGTGAAACCATGTGTTATTGATATCCTGTGATATTGATATCCTGTGCCATTAAGGTTCCAGAGAGAACCAGTATGAAAATTAAACAGGATTAATCTTATACCAGTTTACATTGTAGAAATCTAAATTATTGGATTGGTTTTTGCCTCTGCAATTCTTAGAGGCAAATTAAAGGCTTGGAGTTTGCTTCTTCAGGTGTTAGGTGTAGAGCGAAGAAGAGAGGAAGAGATAAGAGAAAATGTAGGGGTTACAAGAATAGAGATTTGTAAAAATAGTGCTAAATTAAAAAACAAAAATCACCAAAATCTTAGATCGTCAACCAGTCATACTTTTTAATTGCTGATGTTTCTTCCAAGGTTTGAGTAAATTTTACTTTAGAATAGTTTAATGTACAGAGAATTAATAAGAAAGTGAACTGTATGAAGGGGAAAAAGTAAACGGTTTTTCATGCTTTTGTAGCTCTCCCTCATGTGAATTAGCTTAAACGAACTCATAAAATATTTCCTGAGTGTATCTCTGAAATCAGGAATCGAGGTTTCTTCAAGTACTTCACCAAAAAAAAACCTCAGTGAAACAAATCGTAGACAATCTACTTCTAGCTTACGGTTAGAAGTAGAATTTGTCAGAAAAATATTTTTCGGATACTTTCAGATAACAGGAGAGGTAAAAGGAAAGTCCTTTTAAATCCTTTTTTTTTTTTTTTTTTTTTTTAACGTACTAAATCTATGAGAAAGGACCATGAGTTTTTTAAGTATTAAGTATCCTGCTTGGTTCCCAGCCCTTTTTTCCTCCTCCAGTGTTCTTGTTGTAACTGTCTGTACTACCTGCATTGTTGTAAGTATGATGCTATATGATAGAGCTTTATATACAGCTATAGACTAGTGTAGTTGAACAGTTGAGTATTCTTGAAGAGTTAATTTTTTTTTTTTTTAATTTGCTCTGTTACTTAGGCTGTAGTGCAGTGGTGCAAACATGACTCACTGCAGCCTTGACTTCCCTGCCTCAGCCTCCCATGTAGCTGGGATCATAGGCACATGCCACCACATCTGGCTAATTTTTTTATTTTTTTATAGAGACAGGGTCGTAACCCAGGGAATTTCTGAACATGAAGTTGCCCAGGCTGGTCTCAAACTCCTGGGCTCAAGCGATCCTCCCCACATTGACCTCCCAAAAGGCTCAGATTACAGGCATGAACCACCACACCCAGCGCTTAAAGAGTTTTTCTTAAGTTCTGGGGACCAGTTTGAGGGCACTATGTCAATGCACTGTTTCTTAACATCAGACTCATCTATAACAGCTTGAAAAATATGTATCAAATTTGATACAATATGTTGGCTTGCACAAACATCTAATATAATTTATTCTGGTGTCTGGGCAAGTTCACTCCTTGGCCTGCCTCTCATTGGCCTTTGATAATCACTTATTTGATAATTACTGTGCTAGATTGTATACATTTGGTAACCCAGCCTGACAGTCATTTTCTTGATAAATGTTTAAGAGAGAAGCCAGAAATCTGAATCATTATTCTTAAGCAAATTGCTTTTACTGCCAAAAGTAACACTTTAGTGAAAAAAGGGACATAAAAGAATATAAACATGGTAGGCAGCGTTATGTATACTTCCACACATGTTTCTTATTATTTTCTAATCCAGTACTATAGTTTCTCATCCTGAAATTAAGCTTACAGACCCAATTTCTTTCAACCAGTTCCCAAAACTTATTTGTCATTTTTGTTGCTATTGGACTCTGGTCTATCTAGGCTGTAGTATGTAGACTGCTAATGTTGGGGACCGATCTCTTTTTATTAACAAAGCTTTATTATTTGAATTGAGCTCCTTATACTTCTGTTTTGTGGCTATTATCAACCAAAAATAAAATGGTCTCACAGGCCTATCCTTTTCCTAAATTCTGCCCGTTATGGAGAATTTTTCATCTCATCAAAAAAGTAGGCCCTTCTTTTTACAATCAAGAATTTTTTCCTGTCATCAATGTACAACAGGATATTAATATTTTACAAATTTTTCACTTGTAATCTGCTGATTGTAGCGTAATTCCAATTAGATTTTTTTTTTTTAAGAGATAGGTTCTCACTGTGTTGCCCACGCTTGATTGCTGTGGTGCCATCCTAGCTTACTGCAGTCTGGAACTGCTGGGCTCCAGCAGTCCTCCCACCTCACCCTCCTGGCAAATTAATTTTTTTTTTCCTGGAATAATTTACGTTAATTTTTTTGAGACAGAGTCTTGCTCTGTTGCCTAGGCTGGAATGCAGCGGTGTGGTCTTGGCTTACTGCAACCTCTGCTTCCTGGGCTCAAGCAATTCTTGTGCCTCAGCCTCCTGAGTAACTGGGACTTCAGAAGCCTGCCACCACGCCCAGCTAATTTTTT